AACTTTTTAACTTAATCTTGAACATTGTTGCCTGTTGGCAGAAGGTTCATTGCAAAGTTTTTTGATACATTTGTGTTTATTTCTGACATCTTATTTTAGGTGTTCTATTTATGTATTTTACCTTTTTCCTTGCCCTTTTTTTCTTTCTGTCTTTTGTTGAATTGTATTGCTTAACTTTCTTTTCATCTGGCTTGAAAGAAATACGTTTTATATGCCATTTTCATGACCTAAAATGATATAACATGTTTATTAACTTTGTATTTTTAAGATTTATAGCTTTTTAACCAATGAAAGCTTCTAGTATGGTTCAAAGAAAGCCAAACTACAAAGCTGTTTTATTTAATCTGCTCCAAAGTAAAAGTTATGATGATTTTTTAAGTATTTTAATTAGGAAAAAGAATGTGTAAGTCATATTTTTGTTGGATGTACTGAACTAAGAGAATGCAGTGATTCCAATCTGTAACAATCATAATTTAGTTTTGGAAGGTTCACCTTCATGTTAAATCCCATAAACCAGTGATTCGCAATGAATGAGAGGTACATGAACAAAGGCATGGCTCTAAGAGTGATAGCCCAGGGAAATCAGTACATTTTCCCCATTCCATACACTAAGAAAGGTAGCATTCTCCATTTCCAGTTATTCCCAGAACCGTACCTTCGGCTTACCCAGTGAGTCTTTCAGGTCCCCTACAGATGTTTCATCCAGAAATCCTTAATGATTCAAGGGCAGGGCTCATCTCTCCTTGGAGTTGTAATTTTCTTCTTGCAAATGGCATGTTTGGTTTCCTGAAACATCCTGACATCTCACGCCATCCTGTTCTTAAGAGAGGAGCTGTGGACTTTAAAATATATGGTGAATCAACTGTGACATAAGCTAAATGAGGGTGAAATTCAGTTCATCGCCAAGGATAAAACTTCTATACTATAGCCCTTGCTTACTTTGGTGAAGACCCAAGTATGGCTGAACTTCTCATTAGCAAGAGGTACAGTAGAGAGGATATTATTTCTAGTAGTCAGGGCCACAGTAAGATCATTGGGTGTGTAGTCCCTCCCAGTCCCCTTCCTCATAATGAAAATCCAGACACTGACTAATGTGATGCAGTCCCAAGCAGAGTATTTAAAATGGTCAGCTAGATCAGGTACAGTGGCTCATACCTGTAATCCTAGCACTCTGGGAGGCTGAGGCAGGTGGATAACTGGAGCTCAGGAGTTCAATACCAGCCTGAGCAAGAGCTAGACCCTATTTCTAAAAATAGCCAGGCATTATGGCAGGCACCTATAGTCCCAGCTACTCAGGAGGCAGGGGCAAGAGAATCACTTGAGTCCAAGAGTGAGGTTGCTGTGAGCTAGGATGCCACAGCATTCAACCAAGAGTCACACAGTGAGACTCTCAAAAATAAATACATACATACAATGGTCAGCTATTCCCTGTAAGGTGCATACCTTAACTCAGAGAATCTACTGTAAATAACCAAGACTACCTACTAAGGAGAAGAAGCCTCTAAATTGGTTAGTCCCTTCCTCTCTGCTCAAAGTAGATATTGGTGATATAGGAAGGCAGCTTAGACTGGGATTCTCTTGTCCTCTCTCCTGTCCAAAAAGAATAAGGCTCTTGGCTTGGCGCCTGTGGCTCAAGTGGCTAAGGTGCCAGCCACATACACCTAAAGTGGCAAGTTCGAATCCAGCCCAGGCCTGCCAAACAACAATGATGGCTGCAACCAAAAAAAAAAAAAATAGCCAGGCATTGTGGCAGGCACCTGTGGTCCAGCTACTTGGGAGGCGGAGGCAGGAGACTCGCTTGAGCCCAGGAGATGGAGGTTGCTGTGAGTTGTGATGCCACGGCACTCTACCCAAGGGGACAGCTTGAAGCTCTGTCTCAAAAAAAAAGAATAAGGCTCTTCTAGAAGGGTTAAAATCCTTAGGTTTAATCCCCTAATTAACCTTAATTAACTTAGTTCTCACTACTCTGGTCCTTCTAGAAATATTAACCTTCAAATTTGATGTGTTCCTCTTTTTGAAGAGAACAGATAAGACTCCTATCTAGATCTCGTACAAGAGGAAGGGACTGGGCCAGTTAGGTTGAGCTGAAATGATATCTTATTTTGTAAAGGATTCAAGGGCTTTCTTTTAGAATTTGTGCTCTTGGTTACCCTTGTACCCTAGCTCCCCCTAAGTTTTATGAATTAGTGAACCTTTGACACAGAAATAGACACATGGCTGTCAGTATGTCCATACCCCTTTAGGACCACTGGTATTTATTCTCTGGAAACGACAAGGACCCACTAAGGTTTACAGCACCATAGACCTCACCAATAAGAAGAGTTCTATTATCTGGTATAATGGTGGACAGTGGGGTATTGCCTCCAAAAGGCAATAAAACAGCATTAAGGACCAAGTCTTAGGTTGGTTCTAAGCCTAGACCCAACCTGAGCCTAGCCTTCCCCATAACCCAAAGTTAGACTAATGTTGGCTAACAATGCCACTATATACTATACTTATTTGGAAGAGATGGGGAAGTCAGAGATCCAGGAAATCACTCCTACCATACACCCAACAAGGCAGAACTTGTTGAATGCTTCATACTGTCACCTGCTACCACTTCATGATTTTAAGTCACCCTTGTGGAGGTTCACAACCTGACAAACTACTGGCTTTACTCAGTTTTGTAATTTCCCAGATCTAATGAGCTATGTCCCAATCACAAGTACAACCTTTAAATAATAATAATAATAATACCTGTGCCCTAGGGCCCATATTCCAGACTACACCTTTTCTTAAATACATTGGCAGTAATTTCATGTTTAATTTATTAGGTTCTTCACAGTCCAGAGTCCATTTTCCCTTAAGAAAAATGAGGTCTACCTGCAGAATAACTGTTTTCAGTGAAATCAGAGACTATTTTTTTTCTTGCTCCTGCCTATAATCACAGGTCTTCTAATTTATGAGTTCATTTATGGAATAGCCCTATGATATACAGTAGTGCCACTTAAAATATACATTGCCCATTACTTCTTACATGACTTCACAGGACTGTAGTCTACTGAGTTGACATCTTATTACCTTTCTAATGTGACATCCTACTTACACTTGATCTAGGTAGTACTATCACCTCCTGCAATACTGCTTCCAGGAATACACCAAAATGAATATTTAAGAATTTCAAGGGTAGGAGTAGAAGAAATTTACTTTCTAGTCAAGGGGTCCACAAAATACCAAATACAGTGTTATGAGGATTCTAGAAGTTTGTCATCTTCTTGCAGAAGTGGTTAGGATGCCCCCTCTTGGAAATGCAAAGCCCTCCACTTTTAAATTTTATCTACACTGCCCTTGACATTCTTAAAACTGCTGGATCTTTGACTCAAACACATCAATTGAGTACCCAAAAGCTATTTGCTTTACCTAGTATGCCTCCAACAGAGAATTGCAGTGGTTCACCTTCCATGTAATCACAGAAGTCAAATGCAACTTCCCACGTTCCTCCATTCAAAATATCCTGCCTTCTGTAATTATGCCATCTCTGGTTCACCACAACTATCCAGGTACCACAGATATCCCAAGTACCCAATTAAGTGCCTACTGATAACAAGTTTCACAAAAAGAACTCCATGAACATCTTCTAGCAAGCCAAGGTCCATTGTATTGACCACCACTAGGCCATAGGAAAAGATTATTCAAAGGGAAGATACTATAGGAACTTAATACTGCTGTACGAGTACTTCAGAAGCAGGTTTTCATCCTACTGGTTTACCAAGTATGTTTTCATTCTTCCATGTAAACACATGCCATCTTTCACTACTCTCTGCCCTACAACCCACAAGATACTATATCCTGTACCCCAGTATTCTGCCCTGGTAGTCCCAGCAGATAACCTAAATATATCATAATGGAAAGCCTAGAAATATGGAATAAAGACAGTCTGAAGGGACATTTGTGCCAACAGTCCTTCCACCTTTAGAATGCCTTTAAGCATTCTTTTCCAAGGAGTGTTTCCAAGCAACCAGAAATCCCTCACTTCACTGATGAATAAAATGGAGCTGAAGGGTGGCACCTAGAATAAAACTGGAGAAACTACCAGGACAATAGTTTACTTCATAGTATACCCTCTCCACTTGCTGCTGATACATATAACAGATATTCCAAGGCAAGTTCGCATGTTAAACTTTGGGCTAGCTGCCAAATCACCCTATAAGATATAAAGCTGGCTTACTATATTGTAGTCATTGTATAAATTGGTAACATCTTCTCTATGATGTTCTCTTATGGAGCCTTGGAGCGATTCCTAAATCCAGTTTGAGATTCCCGGAGCATTGATCATTTCCTCCCTCCCTTCACCATCATCTTCAATAAATGCAACAGAACAGATCTGAACAAAGTACTTACAAACTTTTAAACTTTAATAACTTAAGGTAAAAGTTTAACTTCAGTTATAACTACTTAAAAATAAATAAACATTTATAATAACTATTACACAATTTCTATATTGTATGATGGATCTTGACGGACCAAAAGAAATGATGAGATAAATTAAATGAACAATATCAAGACTATAAGAAATATAAAAAAAAAAATTGTCCTTTTGAATTATGTAGTTTTAGTCATACCTGTAACCTATGTTATTAAAGTTTAAAATTTTTAACGTACCAAGTACCTTAAGAGAACATTATAGTTTATCATATAAACAACATATATATAAATAACCTGATACATTTGCTTATTTGATTACTAATAGAGTATCATTTTTCAGTAGTCTGAAATAAACTGAGGATTCTGAGTTTTTTACCTGCTCTCTGTTAAAACAGTAGTGGTTGAAATGGCTAGACCTAATTTTAAGAAAAGCAGTAAAAATTTAAAGATATGCAAAATTAGAAAGCAGAAAACTTATTCTCAATATTCTGAAACCACAACCTTAAATAATTAATGTCTCAGACTAGAGCCATCTGGTGGTTGAAGTTTAATGTTAGAAAACACAAATGTTAAAAGACTATTAACAAAGTAGGGAATCCTAGTCATAGGAATTTGAGGAATTGGGATGAACGTGGGCAAAAATCATCTGGTCTATGACACTGGTTTTTAAAGGTTTAATAAAAATCTTTTTTTAACAGGCGACCCAACATATACTAACATTAGGGCTACCCTGTAAAAGCTGAGGTAGGGGGCCTCCAACTCTCTTCCAATAAAAGAATTCACTTCACTAATTAGCCCTAGAAGTAGAAGCCAGTGGAAACAAAAGCCAATGGAAACAAAAAAAAACACCATGAGAGGTAGTTTGGACAAGTAACTGCTTTGGAAGGAGGCACAATGAGAGGAGATACTATTAGCAACATTGCCTCTTACTCATCTTTCCCCCAGAGACATCTTAGACATACAGTGCACAAAGGACAGTGGTTAATGGGCATAGATAAATGAAAAAAGGGGGAACAGGTACCCAAAGGTTACAAACCTTTTTTCACAGGAGCACAGCTTATGTTTAAAGCATTTGATGCAATGCTTTAAACACTAGTGTAAATTTCCTGAAAATGAAAAATAAGAAAATAACATATTTGGTTTTTAACCACAAGCCAATTAAGAACAGGGTTTCTAGGTCCTGTGGGCTTTCATGAGCCAAGCCCTGGACTGGTCCAATCTTGGAAACAAAAGTCCAGATTCAGGTCCCAACCTCCTCCCTTCAAAAGGGCATGGATGTCCATAGAATTTAGGCAAGAAACAGAGATCTCCAAGGCTCCTCTCTGTGACAGCGACCCCCAGCCTGGACAGCAGCTTGTCAGCTAGGCTTGGGGTGACAGGCTGCAGCAAAGTTCCAAAGACTCGCAAACATTCCAAGGCCACATGAAGCACAGTACCCAGCCAGGGAGCATCTACTGGGCTCTCCCAATTCAACTTCCATGGTGCATGCCTTTGGACAAAACCATTAGTTTGGCGGACACAGTTAGACACTGCCTCTAGAGCCTTATATATCTGAAAGTTATCATAGTGGTCTGCTACTTGCTTGGGCAAAGTGGCCACTGCGCTCACCAAAGCATAGTCCTCTGCCTGAGCACGAACTGATGGCCCCAGCAATCCTGGCTCACTGGGAAAGCAGGTAGTGCAGAAGGATGGATAAGTCCCAGAAGGATTTATTCTGTTGGCAGTGCATCGGTTCAAAAGACCTCCCAAGGCATCTGCCAGTTCTGAGTCCAACAACTTAACCACTTTTTCATCGTAGTAATCACAGTCCCAGTTGGGGACGCCCTGCCGTAGGAGAAAGTAGCGGAAACCATCCACAGTATAGCGATCAAGGCAAGTCCTAGGATCCACCACGTTGCCCAGGCTCTTGGACATCTTTTGGCCACACACCGTCCAGTGGGAGTGAACACAGATGCGGCGTGGCGGGCTCAGACCGGCCCCTAACAGGAAGGCAGGCCAATAGATGGCATGGAATTTGAGAATATCCTTACCTATGATATGAGAGGTGGCTGGCCACCAAGATTTGAACTCTGCATTTGGGTAGCCAATTACAGTGAGGTAGTTGACCAAGGCATCCAGCCATACATAGATGGTCTGCGAATCGTCCCCGGGCACCGGAATGCCCCAGTGCAAGTGGCTACTCCTGCGAGACACGGACAGGTCGGGAAGCTCATCCTCCAGCCACTGAAGGACTGTATTATAGAATGGTTCGGGGGTGATCGCCTGAGGGTTGTCCCGCAGCCACCACTGGAGCGGCTCCCTAAACCGGGAAAGCCTGAAAATGTAGTTTTCTTCCTTGGTCCAGGAGACTGGATGCCCACTTTCAAGAGATACAGGACCCGAATGCCCTGAAGGGCCGGGCTGCCAAGTGACCTTGGCCTCAGGCAGGAAGCACTCGTCCGAAGCGCAATACCAACCTTCATAGAGCCCCTTGTAGAGCAGACCGCGAGCCTTCAGCACTTCCCAGAAGTGCTGTACAGCTCCCCTGTGCCGGGCCTCGGTGGTGCGAATGAAGTCAGTGGAGGAGATATCCGCCTCCTGGAAAAGCTGCTGGAACTGAGCAGAGACTCGGTCGCACAGCTCAGTAGGGGCCAGCCCGGCCGAAGCTGCAGCCTGCTGAATCTTCAGGCCATGCTCGTCGGTACCAGTGGAGAATCGTGTGGCAGCGGCCCTGGGAACTAGTAGGCGACGGTGGCGGCACAGGGCGTCCGCCAGTAGCGCCGAGTACAGGTGCCCGATGTGCGGCGCCGCGTTCACATAGAAAATGGGTGTAGTGAAGTAGGCACGCGCGTCACAAACCTCGTCGCAGACACCGAGGGAGCTCGAAGAGTAGTGGCGTGAGCCACAGCCCTCCAGGAGAGAAGCCCTACTGGCCCCCGGGCGACCTAGCAGCCGGGCGACAGAAAGTCGCAGCATGGTGCTGGCAGGGCCCAAACGGTGGGGCGGCGTCCTAGCAGCACGTGTGATGGGCGCATGCGCACCAGGTCGTGCCGCAGCTTCCGGTCGGAAAGCCAATGAAATTAGTCCGAGCGCCGGTCCTCTGCCGCTCCCTCCGCGGTTGAGTCCTGCGGTCAGGCGGGTCTCTCCGACTGCTCCGCGCCAGGAAAGCCGCTCGAGGGGCGGGGTTTGGGAGAGGTTCTGAAAGGCGATAAACTGTACGTTTGTACGCACGTAACATCCTGTGTTTCCTGCTTTAGGTTTCAATCTTACAATTATGGATCCGCCTCCCTCCCTAAGCTGAGCTGCTTGTGGCACTTTGCCGGAGTACGGCTTCTACAGATGCCTAGTCAACGTCTGAAAAGTCATAGAAATTCTTTGTGTGTATGTGTGCGCGTCCGTAACCACAATTTTATTTCTATTCCAAATTATTGTGAGGATAAAAATGTTTAGATTACATTGTTCTCACTTCCAGGATGAAGTTCCAGTTGTAAAAGAGCCCCTCACCTAAGGGGCGTGTTATATACACCCTCACAATGTGTACGGATAGGTGAGATCCCACGACGTGCCCTCCCTTCTGCTAATTGTCCTCTCTCCTTCCCCCTCCCTCCTGCCCGGTAGGAGGCTATATTTGTGTTTATTGTTCATAAGGGGCTTGTAATTGTTCATACATTGGTTTCATATTAGCATTGAGTACATTGGATATTTATTTTTCCATTCTTGCTATACTTTACTTAGAAGAATGTGTTTCAGCTCTATTTCAGGTAAATGTAAAAGACGTAAAGTGTCCATCTTTTTAAAGGTTGAGTAGTATTCCATGGTATACATATACCACAGTTTGTTGATTTGTTCATGGAAGCATTTTGGTTGCTTCCAGGACTTGGCAATTATGAATTGAGCCACAATAAACATTCTGGTGCAAATGTCCTTGTGGTAAAATGATTTTCATTCTTCTAGATAGGTACCTAGTAAAGGAATTTCAGGATCAAATGGAAGGACTACTTTTAGTTCTTTAAGGATTCTCCATACTTCTTTCCAAAAAAGCTGTATTAGTTTGTGATCCCAAGCAGTGTCTAAGTGTTCCCTTCTCTCCACATCTATCCCAGCATCTGCAGTTTTGTGACTTTGTAATGTGGGCTAATCTTACTGGGGTTAGGTGATATATCAGAGATATATTTGCATTTCTCTGATGATTAAAGACAGTGAGCATTTTTTCATGTGTTTATAGGCCATTGTCTGTCATCCTTGGAGAAGTTTCTGTTCCAGTCTCTTGCCCACTTATAGAGGGGATGGTTTGCTCTTTTCTTATTTAATTTGAATTCTTTGTAGATTCTAGTTATCAGGCCTTTGTCAGATTGATAACATGCAAAAATCTTCTCCCATTCCAAAGACTTGTTTGTGGTATGCAAAAACCACAAACACCACCCTTAGCTTAACCCTTAACCTCCCTTAGCTATGCAAAAGCTTTTTAGCTTAATCAAATCCCAGTTACTTATTTTTGGTGTTGCTGCAATTTCCGAGGGGGAGAGGGGTCTTCCTCCTAAAGTTATTTCCCAGACCAATACTTCAAGCATTTTCCCTGCACTCTCTTCTAGAATTTTTATTGTTTCATATAAATTCTAGCTAGGACCCTAAAAAAAATTGGAAGGAAGAAGAGAACAAAGAAGAAAAATAATTACTTAACAGCATTTGAGGCAAGGATAAGAACAAAAAGCGGGATGGGATCTTTAAACAATTTTTGTTGAATCAACAAAAAGAGGTAGATTTGTGGCTC